ATACCCACGGATTTACTGTAACTCGAAAATCTGCGCATAAACGAAGTTTCCCATTGGCTTTCTTCACAGGCACTAACGGAGTCGCCCATTCACTGTACTCCAACGGATATACAGTACCTTTTCGTACCCATCGATCCAACTCCAATTCCAATTCCTTTCTCCATTCAAACGGTATCCTCCGTAACGCACAAAACTTCGGAACGCAACCATCCTTTAATTTAATGTCTACTACATAATCTCTGAGGCAACCTAAGTATTCGTTGAAGATCTCCCGATAACTTTGTACTAATCTCCGTACTCCTTGCACTCTGATCATAGTTCATTTCCTCCCCTCATCTTCTTTAATTATCAACTCTTCTTCTCTAGGCATTGTTTCTTCCTCCATTTCCGCCCGATTTCCTCTCATCTTTGTATTCGTCATTTCTTGATTTTTCTGCGTGGTGGTATTCATCACCACTCTATTTTCTTTCTGTGATACCTCCTTCCTTTCTTTTACCTTTCCTTCCTCCTCCTTCCTCGTAATATCACGACCCCTTTCATTGGCTCCAGCGTAACCTTGGGTAATTTCTACCTACTTCTTCTTTTGAATCATTATTTGAGGCTTCCCCTGAATTTCTTTCCCCCATTTTACCTTTAGAATTTTTCTTCCCTATTTCGCCCTTGGGGTTACTCTCTTTTATTTCCGTTCTATCATTACCTCCCTTTATTTTGATCCTCGAATCATTTTCTATTCCGCTCATTAAATTATCACTCCTTGTTACGTTCCTGGAATTATTTTTCCTTAGTTCGCTCCTGGAATTATCGCTCCTTGAATTATCGCTCCTTGAATTATCGCTCCTTGAATTAACGCTCCTTGAATTATTTTCGATCTTGTAGTTGTTCTTCCTTGTTTCGTTTCTTAAATTATCGCTCCTTGTTTTGCTTCTAGGAAGAATTTCGCTGGTTCCCTTATTAAACATGGTCTCAATTCCAGGCAACACATTCTCTCTTAAGTTCATAACGGCATATTCCTCACTCGTTATTGGTACAAATATTCCCCACCATGAAAATACTCCCCAAAAAATACACCATGGACCAATTCTAGTGATTCAATCCCAACCCATCATCGTTTCTATATTCCGATTAATAATCCATAAATCCAATATTTCAACCCTTTACTCCGATGTCGCAACTATCTCTACCCTACCCATGGCTGCCAACAAGGTTCCATCAAACTGCCTTATTCTCAACCCCTCATTCTCTATCCTTTCCCCAGGCCAAATACTTTGATATCCATTATAACCAATTACCGAAATGGCAGCTCCTGTATCAAATAACATAGGAACCATTCTTCCCCCCAAATTTATCATGACCCTAGGACAAGGATCATGGACTATCCCCTCTTGTAGCATATTTACTATCCCCTCTTGTAACATATTTACGCATCCCTCTTTATTTGTTTTTCGCTGATTAAATCCCTCCTTCGTACCTCCTAACCATCTCGCCCTGACCTGTACTGCCATTTTTTCACTATCATATAGTCACAAATACTCACAATCCCTCGCCACATGCCCAACCATTCGGCATCTAAAACATTCCCTATTTTTCCCCTCTAACTCTCCAATTTAGTGAGTTATTGATATTATATTTTGGATATAGAATTTGATTGCAAGCTGACATAGTGAAAATATAATTTATATGTATTAATCTAATCTAATAATTAAAAAAATATTCATTTAATAAAAATTTAAATAGTCTTATTAATTTCTAAATTATAAAATTATATCTATATATATTACTTAATGGAATTATAAAAGAAATCATTCAGTGGGCAATCAAAACAATTATTTTAAGTTCAAGGGAATATTAAGGAGCCATTAAAAAAAAATATTTTTACTTCAGGGGGCTATTCAAATTTTTTAGGGGGCTTGAGCCCCTGCGCCCCCCCCCTAACGACGCCATTATCCTTATTATGCCCAAACCTACCACAACCAGCACATCTTAATCTCTCTTGTCTACCCGTACAATAAGGGGCTATATGTCCTAATTTTCCACAACCAAAACACTTCGCCTCCCGGGAATCTCTGAGCAGATGACCTGGTTCATAGGCGTAGCCAGGATTTTCATTTAGAGGGGAAATTAAAAAATTACTGGGGGCTTCGCCCCCAGACCCCTTTTGGGCGGGCCTTCGGCCCGCTTTTCCCCGGCCTTGGGTTACTTTAGTCTATATATAGTCATAAATATTTTTACAAATTTTAATATAAGCCTGGAACAAATATGAAATATATTTTTATTAGTTTATATGAAATATATTTTTATTAGTTTATATGAAATATATTTTTATTAGTTTATATGAAATATATTTTTATTAGTTTATATAAAATTATTAGTTTATATGAAATTATTAGTTTATATGAAATTATTAGTTTATATAAAATAAAAATATAATAAATTACTTGTAGTGTATATACCTTAATATAAAAGCATGGTAATAATTTATTCCAAACAATTATAAGTAATTTATTTATAAAAAATAAGTAGAAAATATAGTTGATTTTACTCTATTATATAGAATTAGTTATAAAATACTAGGTAAAATTCTTTTACAGACATATTTGACAGTTAGAGAATATATTACAGTTAATAATTTAACAAATTTTACTAATCAATGCTCTTGATATTAAATATGCAACAACTTGCATTCAATTATTTAACGCCATCTATTTATTTTAAGAAAAATGATATTTGAATTTAATTTTTATATTATTTATCCCACAATGTCTTTAAAAGATATTTTCTGATGTACTTATCAATATTTTATAGTTATCTGTAAAATAGATTATTCGCTATATAGGTAAAAATTACTTGATTGTCATTTGATAATTAAATATACTGTAAATCTACGACATATAATATTCCACTGTTTGTATTGTGCTTTAATATTTTTTTAATTTATGGTTTAATTTTATCAATAGTTTTAAAACTATATTTAACTTTTATTAAGATTAATAAATCAAAATTACTCACTTTATAAAAAATTATATTTGATATATTATATTATTTATTAATTTCATGGATCTATTATTAATAAATATAATACATTTCACTTCTGTCTTAAGACTTATCTTTGGCTTATATTCCACTTATTAAAAAACATTTTTGGTTCATTTTAAATATTTATAAATTTATTTTCTCAAAAATGTATAAATTATGATGAATAGTTTTATAATAAAATATCAACTTTTACATTCTTTCTTTTAAATTATTATTTAAGATATATGCATTCATATTTGAGGGTCAGTAGAGTGGAGGGAGGACTAAGGGGGATATTTTTTATTATCTAAAAATGATATTTACAAAAAGTGATAAATTTTTGAAGGGGGGGGGGAATTTCCCCTTGTCCCCCCCTGGCTACGTCTATGACCTGGTTTATCGCAATTATGACAACTCATTACCCCTCTTACCCGCGATTTAAAATTTTGTCTAATTTCTACTCTCCTTCCCCGACAATTTTCTCTAAGCTCTCTATACGGTCGCAACATTTGATTATTTCCAATATTTTGTTTATCAGAGCTATATATATTACTGTTTATACCGCTATCCGTCCACCCTTTAATTAACTCCTGAACCGGTAACCAAGTAACCTTACCCATCATATCCTCTCCATTATGTCCCTCAATAGTCACAGTTTGTCCTTTAATTCTAACGCTGCGACTCCTTCTCATTCTCCTACCACAAACTAAACTACATATCCATATTAATAATATTACCAACGCTCCAAAAATATTATACTGAATCTCTCTGTATTTAACAAATTTTAAACTTTTCATCACGGCGTTATAAAAAATTTATGATGCTCAAAATAAAAATCTTGGTTATCTGTAATGTCAACAAGTAAGATATTATAAGTAACGTAAATAAGCCAATGATGCACATATACATGCACACTTAATAGGTTAATGGATGACAAATTCTTGTAAATTTCTTATAACAGATTTATGTTTAAAAATATTTGGGCAGCACTTCCTAAAATTTTTGATAAATTTGTCTAACATAATTCCAAAATTTTTGGCAGCACTTCCGTGTATCTAGCTAATTTTATAAAATTTTGGGTGACTTCGTCTAACTTTGGAAAAATTTGGGCAGCACTTTCGTGTACTAGGATTATTTAGTAAAAATTTGAGCGAATTTCTATCAGGTTTATATTCAGAGTGTAACTGATACTTTAATTAAAACTTCCGATCAACCGGTAAGCCAAAACCTCAACTTAACAAATATATCACCGTAAACGTCCGCTCCACAGGTAATTAATTATTCCAATTAAACTTCTGCCCCACTGGTAAATAATTTGCTTATTCAAACTGTCTTGGCCACCACTTTCAACTTTGCCTAATAATAAAAATCAGCTTTTAATACAAAACTTATTATTAATTTAAATTGATCTTACGTGACCAATATTCTTCTCAATAAAGTCTTTTTCTTTCCATATCCACTTATCTTTTTTCTTAACAACAATAAAATTTTTTTTTTGTAAACAACTTTATTTTTTCTTCAACGATTATAATATATTAATAATAATAATAATAATAATCGTAATTTTCTATATCACAAGCTATATAAATATTTTCATAATAATAATATAAAAAAAAACAACAATAAATTAATTATTATATTATTTTCTGATATATTTTTTAATAATAATATATCGAAAAAAAACAATCATCTAATGTTATAAATTTTCTAATGTACAATTTTTCTAATATATAATTTTTATAATATTTTTTATAATAATCATATACCCTAAAATTTACATCTTTACCACATTCTATACATATTTTAAATTTATGAACTACTCTTTCTTCTATATTCTATTTTATTTTTTTAGATAATTTTAATTTTGAAAATAAATTCGATTTACATAATACAAATAAATTATTTATATTTTTAAAAAATAATTGATAGGCCATAAATACATTTATACCTGTCTATTCTAAGTTTACCTGTCCATTCGCAGTTTACCTGTCAATTCTTAGTTTAGTTACACCCCATAAAAAGCATGCATTGGTTATCATGGAAAACCATTTTCTTCACATTATTATATCACAACCTTAAAATAAACAATATAAACTCCTCAATGCCTAAAAAAGGTTAACTCATTTTTATTAACCTATCTAAATATTAATGTTGGTATATTTTTACATATTATATAGAAATTTATTAAGATTAAATAACTTGTTATAAATTTTATGCAAAAAGTGATTTTAAAATATAAATAGTGGATTTCTTTCTTATTTTTGTAAATTGGTCGGTCTATCAGGATACTTGGAAAAAAATGTTATAGCAAAAATAAATATGAAAGGATTATAAAATTTGAATAAGCATAAATATATTTAAAATTCTCATATGGTTATGCAAATTTATAAATATAAAAAGTTAATACAATTAAGAAAAAAAAATTAGACTGTTTAAATATGTCATATTGGCATATTTTCAATCCAATTTACCATAAATGCATTCCAAAATATGACTATTTTTACCCTATAAATTTTAAATAATGAAATCGTTACAATTATGTCATGAAATCTTTACAATTTTTTAAAATTTATACAAATAATATAATAAATTAAGTGTTCTCTAAAGTAAAATTAAAGATTGATTATATATGCTTATATACATTTATGGCCAAGTATAAGAATAAAAGTAGTTCTGATAGAGAGATCTGCAAAGCCTGGCCTAGCCCAAAAGCATTATTAAGATTGAGCCATTTAGCCACAAACATTGCCTCTATTTTTATAAATGTGATCAAAAATATTTTAAATAAGGCACCTTTAGTTGTTTTAGAAATAAAAAGACTATTTTTTTTTAAAGAGGAAGAAGGAAGTATCTTATCCCCATAAATTTTATAGGATGTCTAGTTACAATTATTGAACTTTTTTAAAAAAATATTAGATCAAAACGGTCAATTTCCTAGAACATTCCAAATTTTGAAGCGATGAACTCACTTCCTTTTCTAACTATGCACACTTAAAATAAAAAAAATAAATTCTGAAGTATAAAAAAATATTTGGTTCACCATTGCATTCAAATTTTCATATTCAAAATGGTGGTAGAAAACCAAATTTTAATTATAAAAATCGCATTCATAGCATCTAAATGCTAGGTGAGTCGAACAGAGGACACCTTTTTTTGGCAGTGCCCCCATGGATTGTTGTCACCATATGCCATTGAGTAGCACATAGTGCAAATAGATTGTATTTGTAACAACGGATTTATTAAATTTTTCCAATAATTTTAAGCAAAATGATCTTCTTAAAATAATGGAATTACATTTTTATTTTATTCATTCTTACCTTTATATATAATCCGAGAATTTACAAGGACAATATTAATGAACCCATAAAATATATACATAATGACCATCTCACCCGTTTTTCTATGGCAACAAATAATTGAACATAATTGATCCAATGTGTCAACTCCACATCTAGTGGGATTGTAGGATTTTATTTGTGTTGGAATTATTTCATTTTATTCATGAAGTTGTCATCGATAATAATGAAACTATTTTTGTTTCCCTTCGGGTTGTAGGATAGCAATGACAATTTCCGGTCATATAAACAAATAGAAGAATCGATTTTTCTACTTCCCTTTTATTTTCTAAAAGCATCGGGGACTAATTTCTCTTGTATTTTTCCTTAGGGTTTCGCACAATTGTTAAATTATAAGGGCTCTTTAGTAAATCATTTGGCCACTTTGATGGATGTAAACCAATCATGGTCCATCGCAACATTTCTTTTGGACCCATATAATGGGCTTTGCCAGCTCTTTCACCCAAAAATTATCCCAAATGGAGGGTCCAAATTAGTGTTGTTAAACGGCTAGCTCAACATTTTATTCAGAATAATATTACGCAAGCCTTAAGATTTTGCACATAGATGGCACAAAGGTCTAGACATCTATCAGCGGAGTTTCGAGGCTTAGACAATATTTTCCTGTCTAAATTAGTGAGTTAGCCGTTTAACAACACTAGTCTGAATGTATCGGATCCGTTTTCCTAAATAAGGCAATGCATTTTTTTTCATATAACTATTACTGGGAGTCGCAGATCAAATTTCTAAAACAAATCCACTAAACGTGGAGTTAACACATTGAGTCAAATTGCCCAATTATTTGTTACCGTGGAAAAACGGGTGAGATGGGCCATCATGTACATCTCATGGGTTCATCAATAATGTCCTTTTAGATTCTTAAGATTACATGTAAAAGTAAATGATATGTAAATAAAATAAAAATCTAATTCCATTATCGAGAAGATCATTTTGCATAAAATTACACGAAAATACAATAAACAGCACTTTGAGACGCTATAAACGGGTCGTGATCGGAAATATTCTAAGGAAAATACCTATTGGAAGAAAAGGGAAAAAATCCCCCCAAATCTATTCGTACTATTTGCAAGTTTTGTCCAATCAAAATTGAGGCTTATGACCACAACAATGTGGGTACTGCCCAAACCAAGCATCGCGATGCCATGAATGCATTATGTGATTTTTTATAAATTAAATTTTTATTTTTGCAATAAAAAAAATTTTGTCGAAATATCTCAATTGGTTCCAAAAAAAAATTATTTTACAATTTTGTATCGTCGTAATTTTTACGATAGATTTAAGAATTAAAGTTAACTTTTTCATAAGATTATAGTAGTGTGCCAGGATTTGAGATGAAAAGAATATTTTTTTTTACAAAAATTTTGTCATTTCAAAATGTCGAACTACTTTGTAAACATTTGTAAACCTAGAAGCGTCGTTGCTAATCAGAGCTGTTAAAAGATACTTTTAAATGGATCTAGATACAGATACACCGTCCAAAATTATCTAGATACAGATATTTAACCATCTATCGAAATCTTTTTATAAATATCTTCTCTTTTTTTTTCTTAGCTAAATGTTTAACTGTTAGGAATTGGTTATCACTTCACATCTTTAAAAAAACTTAACATAAATTTTTTTTTAAAAAAAATGAAATATATACACAAAGTAGACGCGTTTTTGGATTTTAAAAAACAAAAATTTTGTTTTCAAAAATTATTATTTATTAAAAAAAAACGTTTTTTTTCTTAGAAACACAAATAATTAGTCCACATTTTTCGCATTTTTTTAAATATACAATATTTACCCTTTGAAGAACTTCCTCGAGTCGGTGACGTTGATTGAAAAGTCGGTTTTTCGCGGCTTGACTCGATTAATTCGTAGACACGTGTAATAGGATTATCGGGTAGAGGTCTGCAATGGGCGCGGTTTTCGGCCGAAAGGCCAGCTCACTCGATGTTTCAAAATTTGTTTTACCACCCACCCGCCCGCAATGGGCTTGTTTGGCTCTTTATTTTAAATGTATTTTTTTTTAATTATTCATATACAATATGCAATATTATGGAAATGAAACTTATTTTTTTTAATAAATTTAAGTCTGTTTCTGCTCATTTCGCTAGAAAAATATCAAAAATTTATCCGCCCACGCCTTACTCTAAAAAAAATCTTCGACCCGACCGCCACCCGACTATGCCTACAAAATATGGGCCGACGGGCCAAAAACCCGCCCAATGAAGTCTTCTTAATCTAGGGACCCGCAATGACAAAAATCCCGCCCAAATCCGGCAGAAATGTAGTATGAATTTGAAAATCCTCAGCCATCAAATTTTGACATCTGCCGGTCACGAATTGCGCGGATCTGCCCATATTTAAAAAAAAAATCTTTTTTTTTTAATAGCTAAATGTGGCGTTTCAAAATATTCGGTTTTTTAAAAAAAAATACACCCGGGTATATTTAAAAAAACTTAAAATACCGTCGGGCTCGAGTAACCGAGTCTGCGGGGTTACTACTTAAATCATCTCAGCTGAGTGAGACATCGCTATAAAAATGTCCGCCAGCAAGTGTTCAAGTCATCCTTTAGGTTTTTGGATGAATTTATAGTTTTGTAGCTTGAATAAGGCAATGAACGTAATTCCTTGATGTCGTAAATGATATATTTTATAATATGATGTCAGTCAATTTTCATATATATATATATCTATATATATTTGTTTATCTTTTGTATATAATTAAAGAAATGTCAGTCATTTTTTTATATTAGAGATCAATATACATTGTTGATTTTTTTGATAAAGAAACACTTTTAATTTTGATAAAACTTTTGAATTTTTACTTTTTACTTTTATGAATTTGATGAATATTTAACTTAATAAAGATATATATCCAAGTTTCAGTTTCGTGTTTCCTTTATTTTATAAGTCTTAATTTAGCTCTTTAATTCGATAGTTTTCTTTCTGTGTTTATTCTTATTTTAGAATTTAGCCCCATTTTTTATATAGTTAACGTTAAGCTTATTTTTGACAGTTGTTGACCGCGACTACCAGGATAGTTTCGATTCCAGTGTTATTCGGTATTTTAAGGTAAAAAATATTTTATTTTATATTTTGTATCTCTACTCAGAACACTACGCAATCACCTTTTTGTGTAAATTTTTAGAAATTTAACACGGCCGTTTTAAAATAATATAAATTTTTCATATAATGAGATGGGCTTTATATTTAATTTTGATAGTGAGCCTAGCTTAGCTTCTTTAATAAAATTTCGGAGTATCCGAGTATTAATTATCAAGATTTGTATCAAATGGTTGATAAATTTGATGTGAATAATGCATTAGTGACCATGTTATTGTTGGTCATACTGTATGTTATATATATTGTAATAAAATTTTTGTTTGGAAAATGTACTCTGGTTGCGATTAAAGTATATGATAATTGGAAAATAGACACTCCGGTGTCGGCAGATTGTTGGAAAAAGATTTCGGTCTTGGAAAGTAGTTTAAATGGAATTTTAAATGAAATCAAGAACGGCAGACCTGAAAGGGTGGAAACGATGAAAGAATATAACGATGATCGTTCGGAATTAGTGGAAAAGTCAGTAGTTGACCTCCAGGAATTAAAAGATATAAAAGAATCTATTAAAGATATTTACAGTGAGTTATCTAAATTGATTAATATGAGTAATCAAGGGGACAAGAAACAACTCGGTGATAGAATTATTTCGAATGGAAAGAATTTTCCAAAGATTGTTGCTGACATAACTTGTAATCGGTGCGGATACA